CTAACACTTCTGGGTACTTTAAGATTCTCAACTACTACTGTTTCTTGAAGAGCCTCTTTGTTTTTTAGAAAACTCTCAAAGGAGAGTAATGCTCCATCCCATGGAGTTTTACTACAGACTTTCAGTGTCAGTATTTTATTCTGTGTCCTGTTTGTACTTGCCTCATCTTAATGATGGCTGTGACAATATGAGGTTTTGCTTGTTGGATGACTTCGTTTCCTTTTCTTTGGCTCTTTTGGGAGTATCTGGCTTCGTGGTATCATTAAAAGGTAGCGTGGCACAGACATAGCTTCAAACTTTGGCTGTGTCATTTATTAGCTCCGTAGCCATAGGAAAGTAATTATGGCTCTGTGTGCCTCCATTCTCTCAACTTTAAAACAAGCAAGTTAGACTGATCATCTCAAAGGCTCTTCCATCTCTAAAACTGTAATCTTAGGAAGCAAGTATCCAACATGAAATGTCCATCCTCTTGTAATATGTGGGGTTTTATCTATGTGTGATTCTTGGTGCTGTTTTTATGTTACTGGCATCGTCATTGAGCAAAGCAAATACTTTACTGCTTCCTATCTCCTGTTGGATGGCACATATTTTATAACTGATGTATTTTGCTGTGTAGCTGGGTTGTTTTGGGTTTTTTTTTCCCTCTTTCGGAGCTTTTGCTTGTTTAAGGAGGTAGCTGTGCTGTCTTACAGTTTGTTTGTCTCCACTCTCATTTGTCCATCTGTCTGTAGTAACACAAGACCCAGTGGTCTGTAGAGTCCTCCTTGTACAGATTCCATCACCCATTCATATTCTCTCACTAAAAGAGGCTTGCTCAAAGAATTCTGATGGGCAAATGGTATGGCAGTCTTAATAATTTGAAAACTTCCTGCAATGTGTGTTTTCCATTATTGACAATGGTGTTCCAGAGGAATATATGGCTCTGGCAAGAGTTTGGTCAATATTTCCCTGTTCTTCAGGTGTCACCTGTGTACTAATGAAGCCATTGAGAGAGCTTTGTACACAGTAGGTTGTCCCTTTGTTGGCTTAGGCATCCTGAACGGGCATCTCTTTGTGGTGATAGTGATGTTCCAGAATCTGCAGTAGCAGAAGCACAGCTGTATGCTGACCATCAGGAAGCTTGCATGTTTTTTCCTCATCATGGATTTCTTCTCTCACATTTAAAAATTCTGATAACCACCAATCTATCTGTATCTATGAGCTGGTTTTTATTTGTTCATTTGTTTCTTTTCTTCTTTTATTTTTATATTCCACATATGAGTGAAGTCATGTAATTTTTGTCCTTTTATATCTGACTTATTTTACTTAGCATAATACCCCCGAGATCCATCCATATTGTCACAAAAGGCAATATTTCATCTTTTCATGTGGCCGAGTAGTATCCTATTATATATATACCACATCCTCTTTATCCATTCATCACTCAGTGAACACTTACATTGTTTCCATATCTGGGTTATTGCAAATAATGCTGCAATGAACATAGAAGTGTATATATCTTTTTGAATAGGTGTTTTCATGTTCTTCAGCTATAGCTAACAAATAATAATATTGTACACCTGAAACTTATATAATGTTATAAACAAATGTTACTTCAATTAAAAAAAATCTATTTTGAGAAAAAAATAGACTGACACCTTGACTACAAAAAAAAGTCTGAATAGCACTTCACAGATTTCTTGTTTAAAGTCGAATTTAGAAATGTATTTTAATCAACAATTCTGTGGGTGGCTTTCAGCATGCAAAAGTTTCTAAATGTTAGAAATTGGCAAGAGAAAAGGCCAGTGGAAATAAACATTGAAGTAGGGTACCTCCAGGTTTGCTGGAAACACCTTTTCAGTCATCAGTCTCTGAAGCTAAGTACGGGATTATGTGACAAAATCTTAGATTACAAGGAATTCATGTGTGACAGGTTATGGAAATCATTCAGCTGAAAATCAGAATTCGGATGCATTTAAATTCTTGTTTATTAAGACAGAAGCATACTTATATTCCTGGCTGCTCTGTAGACATTAAGATCGCAAGACCAAGAGGAATTGGGTTTCTATATCTTTCTAATTTCAAAACCTCTACATCCTCTTTAACTCTCCTCTTAGTCATTTCTAGGAGCTGATAGATACTTTTCTCATTGTCCACTCTTCCACTCTCTGAGAGGTGGTCAGAAGGAGTGTACCATTTACTGACAATAGAAGTCAATGAGAGAAAACCCACAACAAAGCAGAGATTCTTTCTGCTGCTCTCTGGGAGTCTAAAGTGATCTCTTGTTTGACAGTTCTACTCTGTTGTTTTTTCTTGAGTTTTAAAATGTAAGATGTAAGCTATATTAAATAGGTTAGAGGAAAATCATTCCATTGCATGATAAAGCCGAGTCACAATATATGAGTCCCTTACTGTAAATCTTTCTCTTTTAAAAAAAAATTTCTTCTTTATGGATTTGAGAAAGAGAAGAAGGGAGAAGGAGAGAGAGATGGAAACATCAATGAGAGAGAACATTGGCCACCTCCACATGCCCCACTGGAGATTTGGCCCACAACCTGGGCATGTGCCCTGACCAGGAATCAAACCGGCAACCTCTTGGTTCATGGGTCGACGCTCAACCACTGAGCCACACCGGCCAGGCCCTTACTGTAAATCTTTCATCAACCTGTAAAAATTCATAATCCATTGTTCCAACTATTTTTAGAGAAAAGGCAGGTTGAAACATTTACATTTGTCCCAGCCTTTATATTCCACATATCTCTTCAAAGGAGACCCACACATATAAAACAATTAAAAAATAATATAACGCTTTCTATTAGTTTTGTTGTTCATAGAGTGACACAAAATTAATCGACAAGTATTTATTGAGCATCTACCATTTCTCAGCTGTGCAAGATAGCACATAAGACAGATCCCTTGGTTTGATTTTGATCTGCTTGAAGAAGCAAGCCATGATACGAAACAGCAGGGCTGGTGTGTTACGAAATAATGGCATGTTAAGCCATGGAGCACAGACACTATAGACATTTAAGAGAGAGAAACGTATCTGATGGGTAGAATAGTAGAGGTTTTAAGGCTTGAGCTGGAAGGAGAAGACAATTTGAGTAAGAAGATGAAAATGATATGGCAAAAGCACAGAGATTTTACAGCAACAAGCCAGAGGGGTGCAAACCAGGAGGGGTGCAAATCAGAGCTGAGAAAGCTGGGTGGGGAGGGGTACCTGGCAGGCCGTGAAACCCTGGCAGAGTTTAGATTCAAACTGTAGCCTACAGAGAATCAATGATGGTTTTTACAAGGGAAGTGATGAGAGCAATGTTTCATGAGGACAAGCCAAGCATCCACATTTGGGAGAGACCTGAGGGGGAAGAATGTAGAGGCAGGGAATACAAGCAAGAAAAATGTTATGGCAAACCAAGGGCCGGTCTGAGCTATGGAGGTGGTGGAGGAAATGGAGAAGGGACAGATGTGACAGACATTGCTAAGAGGAACTGACTGCACTTGGTAACTGACTTCATTTAGAAGGGGAGGAAAAAGGCCATGTCAAGGACTCCAATATTTTTGGTCTGATGGTCTTCAAGTAAATTGTTGGTAGAACTGATTGTAGAGACAATGAATCAGCTTTTATTCCTGTCAAGTTTGAGGTGACAGTGAGACAGCTAATGAAAATATTCAGCAGGAAGCTAGACATATAACAATCTGAATTATATCTCTGTATTCTGAGGGTAGGAAAGGTGAATCACTCAGATGCATTAAGGTGGAGATGAAAAAACTCACAAGTCTCAGAAAAGTAGGACGTAAGATCAATTTCAAGGTGGGGGGAATGGCAAGGAAAGAGAGACAGAACCAGGCTTTGGAACAGCCATTAGGAGGATGAGGATCAGTGCAATTGATTAACAGAAAGCGAACTGGGCCATATATATATATATATAGTTCTATAACTTCCTCCAGCCATACCTTGCCTTCCCTGGGTTGGACAGAGTCACTAGAATTAAAGAGTGCCCCTATATAATGAGGATAATAAAGGGGATCTGGAGAGGATGAATGGGACCAAGGAGAGCATAAAGTAGTCTCTAGGGCATGAAAGTATGGGAGAGGAAAGAGGGCAAATTATTGTCATTAGTGACTGGAGCATGCTAAAATGCAAGGGGAGGTGCTGACCCCTTCGTGGTGATGGAGGGGACAGACAGGAAGGGGGTCCACTCAGGTGCAGCTGTGTTCCAGAGGAGATGTCTGTGGGTCATAGGTATTTCCCTAATATTGACTTGCTTTGCCTTTGCTCCAGGACACTAAGGAAAGCCCTGCCTCCCACTCTAGCTAATAGAGGACTCCCAGGACAGATGTCCAGCAGTTGGTGGGGGGAGCAGATTTTGGAACTTGATCTGATCCACTTACACTGTTGGCTCAAAAGCTTCTGATTCACTTCAGAGATGGTTTTCTACGCCATAAACACTAACAGCAAAATAACCCACTGTCTGGCCCCCTGCCCGCCATACCTGCCAGGCCCAGCACCTGCAGCACCACTTGGAGAGGACAAGAAAGACCCATCATCCCGTATAGGTGGTGGTGGGGTATCCTCCAAGCCTGAAGGAAAGATGGGGTGTTAGGGAAGAGAGAGGTGAGCAAGATCATAGAGGTCCATTTGGCTACTAGAGAGACCACTGGATATCTTGGTGTAAGGAGGAGTAAAACCAGGTCATCCTCCCTCCCTTCTCCATCTGGGTTTGGGCTACAAAGAGACACAAGCAAGGGGAAACACATATACACACACATGCACAGAGAAAGACACAAAGAGCCTTGCAAAGCAGAGGTGCATACACACAGCTGATTGTAGGACAGACATTTAGGTAACGAGCTTACACACTTGCAAAGGCACACCCGGACCTGCTCATCGCATGCATCCCCTTGTGTCTACACACAGTTCTTTCTTCTCCAAGGGTTCTCTTTCCATGGAGTACCCTTGTGTGAGAAGAGGCAACCCCCTCTCTTCCAGGCCTCATGCCTTCCCCTTTGTGTTTTTCCAGGTCGTGACATGGCGAGCACCACTCTGCCTGGTTACCCCCCTCACGTGCCCCCCACTGGCCAGGGAAGCTACCCCACCTCCACCCTGGCAGGAATGGTGCCTGGTAGGTGACAATGCCTAATTTATGTGGGGGTGACTTAATTGTGGGTGAGCTGCTGAGTGGTCTTTAGTCTGAGGCTGGGGGTGGGAAGAGATCCAGTATCCCCTCCCCCGAAGCCACTGCCTTTCTATCCCCTGCTCTCTTTAGAGCTGCAGTTGGTCCCTCATCCTCCTTCATAAGCAACCTAGGTAGGGAGCTTGCAGAAGTGCCACTTGTGTGCACTCCACTGTATGTCATGGCTCCTCCACAGGGCCCACCCATCCAAACCTGTGCCTGGGGAGCACTCAGCCTCAGCTCAGCCCTCGGTGCCCCAGCCCACCCCCAACCAGCTGACACTGCTTGGAAGAGCCTGCCCTGGTTTCCATGGAAACTTGGAGCCAAGAACCATTTCCAGGGACATGTCAGTCACTCAGACAAAGCCACCCTGGTCCACACCAACCCACAGGGAAAACCAGCGTTGAGAACCTACCCCACCCCAGAGAGAGGAGAGAGCTAGTCCCTAAGGAAAGAGGAACAGGGGACAGGTTATGGCAGGAACCAGAAAGGCTAGCTTCAGAGAGATATGCTAAAGCCCCTCACATGTCCTCAGAGGAACCAGACTCTCCTTGCTCCTCAGAGCTCAGACCATTCCTGTATGAGAGCAGCTGGGTTAGGCTGTGTGGATCAGAGGCAGGGGGTGCATTTAGGCTCTGGTATGGCAGCTGGAGCTTGTGCTCTTCCCAGCCCCTTACCTTAGATTGGGAGCCAGGCTGGAAGCTAAAGAGAGTTGATGCTCCCGTTCCATAAACACCAGAAAATTCTTGTCTTAGAAAGGGTGAGACTCACTGGGCCTGCAGCCACTCCCCCGACTGCCTTCTTGTGTGCCCCTTCCCTGAAGCTCAACTCTCATGGGAGGGGGTGGATAGACAAGGGTGGCAGGCCCCCTTCTTGGACTGTCCATCCAGGGACAGCCCTGGATAAGCAGAATTGGAGGAGGGGTATGGCAAAGGGGGCATTGCTGTGGAGTGTGGTAGAATAGGAGCTGAAGAGAGTTAGAGGAACTGGGTAAGAAGAGCTGAGGTGTGGATGAGGGGAGTCCTACCCAGATGTGGAGTAGAGGGCATAGAAGTGTTGGGGACAAGGAGATTCTTCCAGGAAGGTCCCAGAAGTGAGCTAGTGGAGGCTGGAGAAGGTCTTGGAGAGATGGGGGTGAGGGAGGGGGGGGAGTCTGTAAGGAGATGGGGATGAGGGGAGCGCAGAGAGCTCATGGTGGCAAGGGGGGAGTCGTTAAACAGAATCTAGTGCTGATGAGGAAATTACACTTGTTTCATTAGCGATGGGGAAGGAGATAGCTCAGTTCCTCTTGGTCACAGTTGAGCTCAGAAGCTCATTATCCTGCTGCACGCATGCTTTCCCTCCTCGTCAATAAACAGGCTTTCCAGTGGCTGCATCCCCCACCCCCACCCCAGCTCCCTCTCCGAGAGGGGCCCCTTCTCCTCTACTTAACCCGCGGTTAGGGATCACTGTAAACAGTCTGGGGTCATCACACAGGAGAAAGGGCGAGGGGGAAACCTGGAGGCCTGGCCTTTCTCCCGCGGAGGGAGTGAAGCAGCTTCCGACGGCTCCCAGCCCACGGGCCCTCCGCTCACTGCTCACGGACCCAGCGGGCAGTCAACCTGCTCCCCGCCACCTCCTTCTCCTGCTGCGTAGCCCACAAGTCCAATCTCTCAGAGGAAAAGGTGGGAGGGGGTTTGCCAGCACAGCCCCAAGCCCTTTGCTTTGGCACAGTGCTAAGATGCCATTTTTAGGACTTTCTGGGACAAAGTGTCCCGAGGGCCTTTCTTCGCCACCCTCCTCTGCTTCCACCCGGTGGGGCTATATCTCCCAGAACCAGTCTCCACTAAAAAGACCCTGTCCGCCATAGCAGCGGGGGGAAGGGGGGAGTAGGCATGACTGGACCCAGAATAAACTCTTCTTGGGTGACCAGAGGCGCCTCCGCGGGGGGTGCCCCAGGCGGGCACTGCCCTGCAGGTCCCTCCATGTTCGTGTGCGAGGCTCGTGGGTGCTTCTGCATTCCCCCTCTACACACACCACGGGCTCTCCCCACACCAACTCTGTGGATTGCTCCGCCTTCACCTGGCCTGGTGGGCACTGCCCTGCCACAGTGGGCATTGCCCTGCCCGCCCCACCTGCACCTGGGACCGGGGAGAGGCCGCTGGCCCAGTGTTGCGCGTGTCTGATCCCCACTCCCCCACACTCCCGCAGGGAGCGAGTTCTCCGGCAACCCGTACAGCCACCCCCAGTACACGGCCTACAACGAGGCTTGGAGATTCAGCAACCCCGCCTTACTAAGTGAGTACGCCACCTGGCTGGCCGGCGGCTCAGCGCGTCTGCCCGCCCGCCCGCCCGCTGGGCCGGCTGCTTCTGGATGCGTCCGACTCGGTGCCGCCCAGGCAGGCCCATTAGTGCAGTACTGAGGCCGAGGATCCCTTGAGGACGCCCGTGCCTCCCGCCCTGCCTTCCCCTTTTCTTGCTCCCCGGTCACTGAGAAGCCTCCCCCACCTTCAGCCGCCCTGGAAGATCCACAGTGGGGCGGCGGGAGTCGGGAGTCGCTGCGGACTGGGTCCCTCTCCCACCCGGTGAATGCAGCTCTCCTGGGAGTAAACGCTCCCGCAGCCCCGCCAAGATCTTCCTGCCCAGATCCCACCAGACCCGAGCCCCGGGAGGTCTTTGCTTTTCTTTCCTTTTTTTGTTCTCCTGTTTGTCCTCTCACCCAGCCCATTCTTCTCCTGTGTTAACTTCCAGGTTCCCCTTATTATTATAGTGCCGCCCCCCGGGGCTCCGCCCCTGCCGCTGCTGCCGCTGCCTATGACCGCCACTAGTTACCGCGGGGACCACATCAAGCTTCAGGCCGACAGCTTCGGCCTCCACATCGTCCCTGTCTGACCGCCCACCCCGGAGGGAGGGAGGACCGATTCGACGCGAAGCCTCCTGGCCACCGCCCCAGCCCCACCCCCACCCCAGGACACCGGCAGCCGTTCACATCACCCCGTCGAAGTCGAAGGCAGGACAGGACTAGTGGAGCCTCGGGCGAGACCCTCAGGCACAGGCCCCGCCCCCAACCCCGACTCGGCCTCTTCCCGCCTGCCTGGACTTCGTGGTGCGTCGAGGAGGGCCCCACCAAGCTCGCCCCGGCCTTGCCCGAGCCGAACCGGAGCGGACCAGCCACAACACCGAACTCAGGCCGGGCCGCCGCTGTGCGCGGGGACACGTTTCTGTGACACACAATCAGCGCGAACTGCAGAGCGGCCCAGCCCCAAAGCAGCCCGACTTGGACGCTCCGGCGCCAGGAGGCCTCGCTGGAGGGACTGGGAAAAGGAAATTAAAAACAAAACGATTTTCTGCAGAAGGAGGAAGAGCCTCCTGTCGAACCCTTGGGGGAAAGTCGTTACCCCTGCACCAGCCAGACTTCCCACCTTCCGCGTGTGCCCAGCCCCAGAAGGTGGAATGGAATGGGGACGTGGGGGCTGGGCTCTAGTCGTCAGGTCTTTCCAAGGTTGGGACCCAAGGCACACAGCCCCAGCAGCCCCCACCCACCGAGCCCGACTCTCGGCTCTTGCCTACTTCACCAGAGCTTGCCAGTTCCCCAGGGCCCAGGCATCTCCTACTAGTGACAAGACTCTCAGCCCCACCTTGCCCCTACCTCAGCGTCTCTGCCATCTGTGACCTCCCAGTCTTCCCTCCTGCCCGTCCTTTTCCCATTCCACGATGCTCTGCATCACTCACTCCTCCCTATCTCGCCACCCCGTCGGAGGCTCTCCGGTGCCGTAGGACCAGTTTCCATAGGCCTTGGGCACTGGTCTTTTCCAACAGTTACTTGATGTCCCTCCCCCGACACAGACTCTCGATCTGCCGGTGGCTGGAGCAGGTTCTCAGCTGTGGCGGGGTGGAAGTGAGGGGCTGCCCACTTCACCCCCAGACTCCTCCTCCGGCAGGAACTGAATAGAACCGCAAGAAGTCTACATTTATTTAATATGATGATCTTTGCAAAAAGGAAAAAACAAAACCCAACAGGCTGCTGCTTTGTAGAAAGACGGTGTGTGTCGTGTGAAGGCGAACACCTGTGTATATAACTCCACCCCGTCTGCCCCGCCCCACCCGGTAGAGTCCCCGCCCGCCCGCCCTGCCTGTAGATAGCCCTGCTCTCTGTGCTGTGAGAGTCGCCGCTCGCTGGGGGGGAGGGGGGGACACAGCTATACGCCCACTAAAGCACAGCACGTCCTGGGGGAGGGGGGCATTTTTTATGTTACAAAAAAAAAATTACGAAAGAAAAGAAATCTCTATGCAAAACGACGAACATGGTCCTGTGGACTCCTCTCGCCTCAGTTTTGTTGGTTATACCTCTGTAATCCCGTGTTTTCACTCTCATCTTTCTCCTGCGTATCTCTCCCCTTTCTCCATCTCTGTCTCCTCAGTCTCTGTCACTCTGCGTCTTTGTCTCTGTCTCGGCCTCTCTCCCCATCCCCGCCCGGCCGCCTTGTCCTCGCAGGCTAGATCAGAGGTGGCAGCTCCACCCCCAGGCTTGTCCCCTTGCGGCCGTGCCCCGCGCGCCCTGGGCTACCGGCGGCCGGGCCGCCCCGCCCCGTAGTTGCTCTCTCGGTAGCGGCGATGCGCCCTGCATGTCTCCTCACCCGTGGATCGTGACGACTCGAAATAACAGAAACAAAGTCAATAAAAGTGAAAATAAATAAATAAATAAAAGTCCTTGAACAAATACGAAAGGCTTGGAGTCCTCACCCAGATCTCTCTCCCCTTCGAGCCTTTTTATTTGAAAAGGAAAATGAGAAAAGAGAATAGTTTAAGGGAACTGCCGGCGCCTAGCCAGGCTCCAGTGGCCCGAGCGGGGCGGCGAGGGTGCCGAGGTTCAAACTCCGAGGCCCGGCCCATTCCAGTCCTCCTGGGGCTGGCCGGGCAGGGGCACCAGAGCCAAGACCCAGCCGAACCCGAGGGAGAGCCCCTGATAGCTCTGGTCTCCTTGGCCACTTTAAGCGCGTCGGTTCGTTTTTATTCTTTTCCTTTTTCTTTCTTTCTTTCTTTCTTTTTTTATTGTGCACATGAGAAATAAATAATAATAAATAATAAATAAATAATAAATAAATAATAATAAAATTTTGTATGTCACTCCCCATGGCTCCAGGTTTGTCTCTCCCTGTCTCTGGGACAGGCCTCCCCTCACACTGGTGGATCCCAGATAACCCCTTAAGTGATCCTCCCAACTACACTCCCACCGCCACCGCCACCCCACCCCCACCCCTTTACCAAGACCCTCTTAGAGGCAGCTGAAAGCAAGGCAAAGGCCCTGACCAGTGGCCCCTTCAGTAACCACCCTCCCCCACCCGCCCCGCCCTTGGGACAAGGAGCTTTTCAAAACTTCACAATAACTTCGAGTTACACATCTATACCAGGCCGAAGGGGTCGCCCTGCCTCTCCACCGGCACCCAGATTTAGAGTTCAGACTCTCAAAGTGCGACATTAGAGGCCCTCTCCCAGTGTGTGTGCGCGCGCGCGCGAGCGCTCGCGCGCGGAGGTGGGAAAGGAGGGTGGGGGTTGGGGACCTGTCTTCTTCCTCCTCTGCTCCGCGCAGCCTCAATTTTATCCCGCGTCTGCACAGAGACCGAAGACCCTTATCACAAGTTTCCTCGCCTCTCATTTAGTTCCGCGCGCGGACAGTGCCCAGCTCCACGAAGGAAGAACCTGCCAGCTCACCAGACCTCGCGCGCCCCCTGTGCCTTGCGGAGTCCTAGGCCCTCGCCAGCAGCAACTAGGATTGGTGTAGTCTGGGTGTGTCCCTGAGAGGGAATACAGGAGTGTGTGGGTCGGTTGGTGCTCCTATTTATGTTCCACCGTGTAGGTCTACATATTCCTGGGTGGCCCCGGGGTGGGGAAATGGGAGAATTGTTTGCTATTTCAGACACTCTCACTGTTTTTGTGCCCGGTACAAGAATGTGATTGGGGAGGGGGGGGCGTAAAGGATCTGTGTCTATCCCGTGTCTCTGTTCTCATGTGGGGGAAGGATGGAGTGATTGTCCAGAATTGTCCCGGTGGAATCTGAGATACTTGGAAGGGGTCTCCTCTATCTCCCTCTAGCAACCTCTCAACATCAACCTCCCATAAAGGCTGCAGCCTTCACCTGGTCTCACTCTTGGAGACTTTCATTCTCTGGCCCTAGGAAACCTTCCCAGCTCAGCTCTTAGCTGGGCCTCCTCCCACTTGGAAGGCTCTTGCTGCTCTGAGCTGCCAGGAATGGTTGACTAAGGAGTGATTTTCCCTCTTGGCTGGGAGTAGTGTGTCCCAGACACCTCCTTCCCTCCAGGATCCCAGAGGCCTTTCTTTCCCCAAGCCTATGTGCCCAGTTTCACCCTGTGACACTTCAGGAGGATATGCAGGATCCCCAACAAATCAGCAAGCCCCTAATCAAGTCCATCCTCTATTTCCTCCCTCCCTCCCTGTACCTTCTCCCTATTCCCCATCTCAGCAAATAATCATCCCACCTTCCACCCTGCTTGGCACTGCCTCTCTTAACTATCATTTTCCTGGAAGGGTGGTCTTCAAAGTTTTCTTATCATACATCCTATCAGTAAAAATAATTCTTAACATGCACTCCCAATATAATATATTTATTTAAATATTGACTTATTTTACAAATTCCATAAATGTACTACTGGACTAACATATTATAAATTTTACAAGACATAAATAGTGCCCTGGCCAGTTTGGTTCAGCAGTTAGAGAGACGGCCTGCAGACCAAAGGGTCAGGGCTTCAATTTCTGGTCAAGGGCAGGTGCCTGGGTTGTGGGTTCAATCCCCGGCCCCAGTCAGGGTTGTGCAGTAGGCAGCCAATTGATGTGTCTCTCTTACATAGATGTTTCTCTCTTTCTCTATCTCCCTCCCTCCCACTCTTCCACTCTCTCTAAAACGCAATGGAAAAATACCTGCTGGTGAGGATTAACCAAAAAAAAAGACATAATATAGTAAAATGATGAGATTGAAATACATAGACAAAAGAGTCCGAATGTTCTCTAAGATAAGTGGATTATCTTGCACCCCCCTGGGAGATGTACACCCCACTTTAGAGATCCTGCTCAGAACCCATTAAAACCCAGCATGGCAGAACTCCTGACTACTGCCTGATGCCCAGCAGGTAAGTTCCTGAAAGTTGTCCTCAGGGCACTGGATTGGACCAGTCAGTGCTGCCCTCATCATATGTAGCAGGTTATCTGGGCCCCAGTGCCTGGTTTTGCCTCCAGGTGTCCCCAGACTGGGAGGGCTGCTTCACCCAATACATCAAATTGGGAGTCAGGTCCTCTTACCTGGTTCCCACCAGAACTCCTTAACTTTTGTTCTATTTCTAGTCTCCTCATACCAAATTAGACAGTGAGAGTCCCACTGTTGAGAATGACCACCTCTGTCCAGACACTCTCATGCTGTTTCACCTAGGGTGTTGGTTTCTGCTTGGACTCAGCTCAATCCTCAAAACATGTTCTATAGTCCTTGAGCAGTTGCTTGTTCTAACTGCAGCCCCATATACATACTCCAATCACAAATAGGACCTATTCTCCATTAACTCACCCAATTCTGACTCTGCCAGTCTTATCCCCAGCCCACCCCCAGAGCTGAGGCATGCCAAGTATGACAGTTAGAAACAGATGAAGAAAAGTATCCTGGGTTGAGGGAACAGCAGGAACAAAGTCATGGAGGCATGGAAATATACCAGACAGAATGTTGCTGGAGCATCTGGTCACAGGACATGAAATAGTTGAGAGCCAGGACACCGTGCTAGAAATGTCAAAATGGTATTCATCACTTACATGGCTTCTTTAAGGAAGCTGCCCCATTCAATCCCCTCCTGCCCATGTAACCAACATATTTGTGCTAATGACTCCAATCAGCCCCCCTCTCTCAGGACACAGCACTAGGAAGTATGAAGAGAATGAGGACATTAACTATTAGCAGCAAATCCCAATGGAGACTTTAAGGGGATTTCCCAGTCTTCCTCATCTCAGTCAAGAATAGCTTTATTCTACCCTAAATCTTCCCTGACTGTTCCTGTCTTTCCCATCCCATATCTGATCATCACCAAAACTAGACAGCTCTGCCTTTAAAATAGGTTCAGAATTTTACCACTTATAATGATCCCAGTCCAAGCCACTACGATCCTTCACCTGAATTTGCAAAAAAAGAGTTCTCACTGGTCTTCCTGTTTCCATCTTTACCCCCACTCCAGTATATTCTGCCCCCAGCAGCAGAGTGATTCTCCGACATGTAAAGCAGATTATGACCCTCCTCTGCTCAGAGGCTTCCAGCGGCTCCCCTTCTCCCTTAAAGTCAGAATCCTAAAACTGATCTACAATGCACTACATGCACCAATCGGTCACTGGTTTGATTCCCGGTCAGGGCACATGCTCAGGTTGTGGGCCAAATCCCCAGTGGAGGGCATGCAGGAGGCAGCCAATATGTTCTCTCTGGTCGATGTTTCTATCTCTCTCTCCCTTTCCACTTCCTCTCTCTCTAAAATCAATAAAGAAAAAAAAATTTTTTAAGTAAGGAGACAAGAGACAACTAGATCCTTGACACATAAAGCATAATTATTTAAAGAATAAACCAAATTTTACTTTTTTTTTTTTATCCTTACCCGAGGACATTTTTTCCATTTTTTGTTCAGATAGAGTGGGAGGGAGAGAGAAGAAGAAAGAGAGAGAAAGAAACATCAATGTGGAAGGAACACATCGAGTGGTTGCCACCCACACGACCCCAACCAGGGCCGGGGACAAACCACAACCGAGGTACATGCTCTTAGCGGGAACCAAACCTGGGTCTCTCTGGACCATAGGCCGACGCTCTAACTGCTGAGCCAAACTGGCCAGGGCCCAAATTTTACTTTTTTGTTGTACAATTGAAGGAATGTTCACTGGATTTGGTGAATAGGGGATACCCAGTGCTGGGAGTTGAAGGTGAGGTGGCTAAGTCTTACGGAAATAGAAGGAGAAGGAGTATAAATAATTCTTTTGAAAGGTTGGGAAGAGAGGGGAACATGAGAAGGGCCGAATGATGTTGTCAGTGAGCTCAAGGGAAGATTATTTCAGGCTCAGGGCTATGGACAAGCCTCCTGGCTGAGGCAGAGGGTGGGAGGCAGCCGGGGTAAAGAGGGGCTGTTCAGAAACAGATATGAAGAGTTTATGAAAGGAGGCCTGAACTAATATGGTAGAGGCATAGGGGTGACAGGTGGGGAGGAACCAGAGAAGTATTCTGGGGAGATGAAGGTCATGAGGGAGAGGGGTCTGGTACTGGTAGGGTTGTTCAGAAAGATTGCAGGAGACACAATTGCTGTCTGCTGAGGGTGGGGGAAGCAGGGCTGGGTTTAGCCTTGAGGAGAATTTTGGAAGCATTTTTCTTGGGGGTTCAGAAGGAAGTCTGTGAGAGTAGAAGGAGCTCATTGCCAGGTAGCAGCAAGGAGAGCACACATGAGTGGAAGATTCTTAGCTCCCCTTGCCCTGGCTGACTCCATCTCTTAGGACGTAATATCCTAGACTCCCAAAATTACACTGCTCTCCCCTCTCCCATCTCATCTACATCCCTCTCCTCCATGTGGCCACCCCACTTGATGAACCCTAGCAGCACCTTGGGCCCATTCTCATAGTCTGACCTTTGTGACTATCCATCCCCAAGCACCCAGTCATGGCCTCAACTGCCTTGTAGGATAGGCCTATAGAAGACCCAGCCTCCCAAGGAACTCCCAGTCCCCATATACAACCTAGAGGTAGAACAGAAATCATGTGTGAATGGAGGCATCTCCAAGCCAATAGCAGGAGGAATCCAAAAGTTGTCTCACAGGGTCACTGTGTTACCTTCAACAAGCCCCCCACAACTATGCTCGGTTTCCTCTTGTTTAAAATCAGATGGCCTGTAGGACTCCTTCCCATGTGACATCCTGTTCTTCTGTAGTTGTATTCTGTGGGTGCTCAGGCAAGCTCTGTGATCAGGAGAAGTTCAAGAAAGTTTTGTGGCAGTAGAGTGGATAC